GTGGGAACAAGTCCCTGCCCCTGCCCCTGCCCCTGCCCCAGCTGCTGAATTCCAGGATGAAGTGCAAGCAGATCCCTCCTTGAGGACTCTGAGGGAGTTTGCCAGGAGAGGGAATTCCTGTACTGGGAATGGCTTCCCCCAGGGAAGGTGGGGGCATGGGTGCTGGTAGTTCCCCAAAAGTATCGCCGCAAGCTGCTGTACCTGGCCCATGACATCCCATTCTCGGGATACCAGGGGATCCAGCGCACCCGGCTGAGACTGCTCCAAAACTTCTACTGGCCAGGGATATTTACAGCCATGCAGCAGTACTCTTGCCAGAGGGTGGGGAAAGCCCAAGATAGGAGGAAAGCTGCTTTGAGGCCCCTACTCCTTATAGAGGAGCCTTTCCAGAAGGTGATGATGTATATAGTGGGACCCATCCTCAGGGCAACCCCCCACTGGGCCCTCCTTACAGACAGAGGCCAGTAGGAGTCATCCACAGCCCACATCCCAAGCATAGCGACCAGCGAGTGGACCATACCCACACTACATCACAGAGGTGTCTCACTTGGGGACATCTGCCAAACTGCCACATAGTCTTCGGACCATACTTTTATAAAACACTATGCAATTTGTATAAACCTTGCTAATGATTCATCAGTAGCCACAGCAGTATTGTCCACTGTCGAAACCAGGTGACTCCGAATTATAACCATCCGGCTTATAACTCACAATGCTACAAAGACACCTACAGCGGAGTACCAACAGCGACGTCACTCAAAAAAGAAAAGGAAGTTACTCAGTGCGGTAACAAAGGTTCTTCAAGATGTGTGTCCCTGTGGGTGCTCCACGACCCACCTTCTTCCCCTCTTTCATCAGAGATATTTCTATTTTTTCTCTGTCTAGATCAGGGTTTCCCAACGTATGGGTCAGGACCCAAATATGGGTTGCCATTACATTTCAATGGAATTTTTTTGAATTGCCCTAGGTCACCAAGTCTTCCTGAATTGTCAGAATGGAAAAGGTTGGGAACCGCTGATCTAGAAATTCAGGCATACATGCAAATGGCATGAGGCACCTAGTATGCATGTGTAGCCCAACCGGCTACTGCTGTGCAAAACTCTGATCTGTGGCACTGGAGCTACCCAATAACATCTATAGTGGAGCACCCACGGGGACACAAAGAATCGTCATTACAGCACCAGATGAGTAACCTCCTTTTCAAGCTCATTGAGCAGTAGTTACCTTGAGATCATGGTACCTATACTGCTAGTCATAATGATAATACAATTTACTTTTTGTTTACATGCCAGGTAGCTTGTTTCATTATCTTTTTATTTCTTCCACAACAGAGGCTTTTGGAAGCCTAATTTTTTGGCAAGTAGGATAAAATAAAAGCTAAACTGAAAAATATCATTATATAAATGCCAAACTACTGACTTCAGCCTAAGTGTTTGAACACCTGTAAAATTTATCTGAGGGAAGCTAAACAACACAGGTCTTTAGGTCCACGTGTTTATTCTTGAGGTTACTAATTGTGCATTCATATTTAAGGCTCTGTTCGAGGAAAATCTCCAGGGAAAATGTCTTCACAAGTTACACCTGAAGATCTACCTCCTCTCATCTCTCTGGGACCATCACCAATTAAGCCAGGATCAGATGAATGGATTTATGTAGATGAGCCACTTCCAAAGGTGCAACAAAAATAGGAATCTTTTAAATTACCATACTTTTCTCAATTTTTACACTGATTTCTACATGATCATTTTGTCCATTACAAATGAATTCATTTTAAAGATATTTCTAATACATAATGAATGCAGGAGAGATTGTAGAATAAATTATAAATATAAATACCTAAAGATATGGATAGCAGTTAGCATTTAAAAAAAATGCTGCAACTATGTACAAAAGTACTGAAAATATTTGATAATGACATATGTTAGAAGTTTGTGCATAAATCCTCATAGTTACAATGAACAATAGCTTGTTTGAAAACATGGTAACACTTTATGAAAGATGTTTCCTGAGTGGCAGTGTTTTTGTAATACATTTATTTTATTTTAGTTATAATGTATCACTAATCTGATATCCAAAAATAATCTCTTTCCTATACTTGCTGATGGTATATTTGGACAGGCTGTAGGAAGTATATGAAATAAGTATTTGTGTGTTTTAATAATTAACAGGAAATACCTGAATTTTTAATACCTTACTGGGAAATGATAGAAAATGCATATGAAAATACCATCAAAACTATACTTAGATATCTGAGACAAGAACGGTATTTTGTAATTCACTACTTAGCAGATACTAGGTGAGTAACAGGAGTTTATTGCATTAGCAGTCACATTTTATATTATTTATCTAGAACACCATCTATCTTATAGCACTAAAATGATTTTGACACATTTTTCACAGAAACCATTTTAAGGATTACCTAAGGCGTCCAGACCATAAGCAGGAATTTGTATCTCAGTGGCAATCTGATTATAACTCCATTGCTGATGATCTGTGGGAAGATGAGGAAACAAAAGCAGAATTACACCAAAGGGTTACTGTAAGTAAATGGCAACTGTATTGGTTTATTTAGTTCTGAAGCATTGTACGTCTATAGGCATTTGAATTCACAAAGGATTAATGTAATATGAATACTGATGTCCTTAATACTAGCTCTGCAACACTGGTATTAATAAATAGTACTTTTCTATTATTCCTTTGCTTTTTTATTCATTTCTTTCTCATGTATCTCTCATCATGTATTTATTTAGAAAGTACTATTCTTATAACTTTCTTTCCTTTTCCCCAATCCTCAGCATTTATTCATTTAACAATTTGCTGTATTAAATAGACGTTTCTGGAATGCAGGCATTTCTCTATTCTTGTCCTCTAAAAAACAATAAAAATAGTGATTTGTTTCACTTAACGAGCAGTCATTTCATACCAGGGTCCTAGCCTGATCTCCTCCTTATACCAGAGGTTGGAGAGATAAGATTAGAGAAGTCTCAAGCTACGTGAGAAACAGAGGCATACCCCTGCATCTTTGCTTTTTACTGCCTACAACCAGTGCCCAGGCAGCCTATTGGGTTAGAGTTCTTAACTGGATTTTTCTTATCTGCTGCACTGGAACCTGCCAAAACTGCAACAGGGAAAAGATGGAAGGTGAAAAACCCACACAACAGTTTGCCAATTTTGCCATATCGGAAAAGTCCCTTCTTGACCGCACATGTGGCATCATCAGAAATCCAGTAACTAGGTTATAAGTAGGAAGAGTGGGACTGAAACTGGGAGCCCACAATGACTACTCCATGTAGGCAACTATCATATCAAGCCTTCTCACACTCCTCCACCACCAAATAGACCAGTCATCAACTGTAGCCAGCTTTAGCACCACCCCTGCTGCCCAATGGCAGTGGTAGTGTGTTGTAAAGAGCCTAGGCCTCTGATTATGTCCCCTCTTCAACATGAGAAAGGAAAGAGAGGGAAGTGAAAGCAACCTCCACATGCTGAAAGAAAAAGTGTAGGGGAAGGAGAAAGAAAATAAAAGGGCCACATGGAACACTTCCACAGCCTTTTCCAGATGAGCTCTCAATTTTTGTCCCCATCCTCCAGCTTCAGACAATGTCTCCACCACTCCCAGACCCTTCAAAATTGTGGCACAGCTAGTGAGGTGAACATTTGAAAAATGGAGAATTGACTACATGACTGACAAAAGAAAAGAATGATCTCTAATATTAAAAAGTCATAATACCTTTTTTCCAGAACAAAGGCATAAACCCATTTAAAATAATTTTAAGAGGCTGAAAAGAAATGCAAGTGTTTAGAATATCTCACATCTATATCTCAGTGGGAAAACCTAAGGTCACATGGAGAGAATAAACTTTATATACAGAATTTCAGGAGATGGAAAGAATTGTGGTAGTTGCTACCAACTACTAATTAACTGGAACTTAGCCACATATATTTCCCTTTTCTTTGTTCTCTCTCTCCCTTCCCTCCCCCCCGCCCCTCCACTTACATTGACAGATTACAACTAAAAAACTGGTAGGAGAAACAGCCAGACAACAGTTTGAAAGGTGAAAAGTTTACTCTAAGTCAGAGTAAAGATTCTGCTTTGTCCAGCTTTCTCTCTCAGGGCTTTCTCAACACACCCTATCATGGGTTCTGTAACATTTTGTAGCCAGTTATGTCTAGTCTTCAACCTCTGGACCTAGGTCTTTACCAGGTCTAAAGTTCAGCTTGCTCAGAGCTGTCCGAGGTGTTCCTGTCTTCCCAGTCAGAGCCTAGATCTGGCTGGGTCAAGCTCCAGCAAGGAACTGGCAGGTCCTGTCCCAGCAACTTTTTTTGTGTCAGGGCGCCGGGGCCCCGTTTGGCCCCC